GAGTTTCCAGCTGATAAATTCAATTATCTTTTTTAATCCCGGCCCCAAAAGCCAACTAAATTGTAACTAAATTTAATTGCTGGTAGTAGCTAAGTTCATTCAGAGGAACTGAGCTGCTGCCAGCCATACGTCAGCCTGGTTTCAACTTTAAAAAAAAAAAAAAAAAGTTTCACAAAACTTTTATTTTTACGTTTACTTTGTAGCTAAAAAGAAACTACCAAATGGTTTCTTGCTACTGTTTTCAGCCTTTCACAATTCCCAGGGGAGGCAGAGGCTCATTTTGAGAAATAGTGCTGTAGGCATTTTCAAGAGAAATGTATTAATATTGCAGAGAAAACTGGGGGCAGCTTCTGAAATGTCACTGACGTTATTTTTTGGTTTTTAACTTATTCAGAAACTGCCTGTCCGTTTCAAACCAATGACACTGATTGTTTACTTTTAAAAGTACTTTTTTTTTTAGTAGGTAGAACAATACATCAGAGAGGATCTTGCCACTTACAAGCATATTAATTTCAGTTACTCCTAAGTTTTCACTTGGGTAACAGAACAGGTCAGTTCATGATTTCTGCTTTGTGCAGGTGCTCTTGTGTCTTCAGTGGAAGAAACTGGTAGGAATTCCATCCTACCTTTACAACACTTTTACTTAAAACTGGGGAGAGTCCCTAAAAATCAGTGTTGTCAGAGGTACTCGGTCTAATATTATACCTTAATGATCCTTAAATATAGACCTATTAGGTGCTTTATTTCTTGGGGAGCATGGTCTGCATAGGAAAAATGGGCAGGCACAGGTCTAAATGCATAAGCTGCGGAGCAGTTGTAACGATGACATACAGTTCTTTGTATAGGTAGTAAATCGTAAGTGTAAGTTTTGTCTGTCTCTGGGGTAGAACAGCAAACTCCCAGAAGGAATAGCAGAAAAATCTTGAAACTGCAAAAAGGAAAGGAATGGAGTATTGAATGGAAATTCAGGGTTAATTGTAATAATTTCTTGCTGTTAAAACATGTGTTTTCCCTTGCTTTACCAGAGAAGACCAATCTATTAATAATAATTTAAAACCTTTATTTAATTATTTAAGTAAAATAAATAATTATTAATTATTTAAGGGGGCGGAAGCTCAGGAACTTACTTTGTTAGCAGTTGAAGAACTGAGCTGGGAAAACGTTTAAATGTTATATGTTCTGAAGTCTACTGCCTCTAGAGACAAAAAATCCTTTTTATTTTATAACCCTATGTTTTACATTTATTCTGTTTGGAAGAAACTTTTCTGTCATGTTTGGGAAACTATATGGAAGAAGCGTGTTGGTGGGGATTTCTGCTTTCCTTTACAGCGCATAGCATGAGCTGTGGAAGACAAAAGATGAACTATACATCTCTTTTTTCCTGTAATTAATACTTCTAATTTATGTGATTATCGCTATAAAGCCGGCAAAATAAATCAACTGGAGTATCCAGTGAACACATTAGCAAACCTTCAGCTCTACAACAGCGGCAGGTGTTTACTGCCCTGATGGTAACTTGAGTTGTGTAACAGCCTAACAATAATTTGGCTGCTCCAGAATAACAGCACTGCCATCATCAAGGTGTCCCTTTGAGACCGGATCAGGAATGTGTTGCTTTTTTTTTTTTCTTTTTCCTAAGGTGATCAGTAGTTTTATGTCACTGTTTTACATGATAGTGGTAATTAGGTCCATCTTACCTTTTATGTTTGTGGGGGGTTTTTTGTTCATTTCTTTTTTAATTCTCTTCCCTTCTAGCTTATTTGCCTAAATAACTTTCCAAACTTGTGATGCAGGATATAACCAAAGTTGCTACTTCCTAATCGTTTTTAAACAGAACTTTATTCATCATTTAACTTGTCTTACTTTGCCAAATTACTAATAACATTTTTCATTTGCCAAACCAAGGTTCACTGACATCGTCCGTAATCCTTTATTTTTTTTCTTTTTCATTCAGATGCAACCAAGAATGAGTAAGTGTTCTAGACACCGTTTCTAATAAATCACAAATGCATTAATAACCCTGGAATTTGCAAGGCGTGACCTAAGACACCAACAGCCACTAGATGTAGCAACTGGTGCTTAACACTGGAAATGTCCATTGTTAACACATTCCCAGGAAATATTTTTAGGCTTATCAGGGGAAAATGTCATACATTTGATAATCGGGTCTTTTTGAATTACCTGATGACCAATTTCTTCTGGGTATTTTGTCTGTTCCATTTTGTTCTCAAAAAAACCCCATAGGATGTTAATTAAAAGGCATTCATTTCTGAAACCAGAAATCAGTGTCTCATAGCTCTATTATGGTGTACTCTACTACAGAAAATACACATATAGATCTGTAGTCCTCTGTACCCTCTAATGCTGCTGTTTGCAGCTAACTTTTGAAAAGGTGCATCTTTTCTGAACCCTGTTTGCGTTCACATTTAAAGCATTAGAACTATTTCTTTTATCACCATGAAGATTCCTCTGATTGGTTTCTTACCAAAACTAAATTTTCTTTCCCTGAAGCTTGAGCATTCAGCTGTCGTCCAAGTTGTATAAATTCATTCCTTCAGGTGGGGGAAAAAAAAAAGAATTGCTAAGAAGAAACCACCAGTGGACAAAGTAACTAACGATCTGTGTTCTAAGTCATGGCTGAAGGATATAATTAAAAATAAATTGACATTTGGATACTGTGGTGATAAGTATAATAAAAGTATTTTAAACTCGATATGAAGGAAACTCAAATTTTCATGTTCTTTAATTTCAAATCTAATTTCTTAAACAGACTCAGACTATTTTCATGCATTACTTCTGCTAGCTTACCTCGGATAATTTTAGTGCTTAAGGTAAATCCCGGTGTATACCTGTCTGTCAGCCCATTTCTATAGAAAAACCTACACGGGGGGAAAAAAAGGAGGAACTCGCTATCAAGGGTAACATGTACAAAATGCCCAAAGTAGAAAATGGGAAATAGTTTTGTAATCTCTTTACTCTGTGCTAACCAGGAAAGTCTAATAAACTCATAATGTCAGAGTTTATTTAGCCGATAGAAGGTTTGTTGCTGAACTAGGAGGAGGATGGAAGAAGAGACTGGCTCCAGAGCCAGCTCTGGGGCTGGCCCGGGTGAGAAAAACCCTCCTGTCTCCTCTGAACAGGTTTGTGTCCCATGAGCTGACAGCATCTTACTGTCCACTGTAAAGCCTGCCTGTGTCAAGCCCTGTTGTATGGGAGGCATTTTGTCTTTCAAAAATGTCCTGCTTAATTGGTGTCAGCTCGGGAAAGCTAGTTGGAAATGTCCGTTTAAGTTATTTAAAGTCGCTTTTGTTGTTTTGTACTGCTTTTTAAAGAAATGATTGATTCAAGCAGTCAGCTCAACAAAATCGTCGTGCCTTTTTTTTTTTTTTTTTTTTTTTTTTTTCAAAAGCAAGCACTGTCTTTTACCATTAACGATTATACAAATAATAAAAGACTGCCATAAGTTGCTCTGTTGGCGACAGGTTATCTTGATACCGGCAGAAGCACCTACGTTGTTCATGGTGCGAAGTATTTTGACTCAGACATCAGGTGCCATAACTGTGTAAGCCTCTTTTTTTTTTTTTTTGGTTTGGTTTGGTTTTAAGGCCATGACACAGTTGAGTTGATCAAAATATTGATTAGCACAGCTGCAATGTGTTACTGGGATAATTTCAAAAAAGATATAGCAGAATGAGGAAAAAGCACAAAGCCAGGGAGCTAGTTTGGTCAGGGGTTTGGAGTGGTTCCTGTGGTGGGAAGTTATTAAATAGAGGTTTCAGCTTTGGAAAGAGGTACCGAGCATGAGTGGAGGACAGAGATTAATATAAAGGTGTGTAAAATCATGACTGGCATGAGAATGATCATTTGTTTTCTTTTTTTTTTTTGTAACTCAAAGAATGGTAGGCAGGCAAGGAAGCGATCAGGAAGCAGATCTAAAATAAATAAAAGCACTTTGTAGTTTTCCAGCCAAGGCCTAATTATATTGTGAAATTTGTTGCCACAGGATGTTTTGGATACTGAAAGTATGAATGGGTTCAAAAAACATTAGACAGATTTATGAAGGGCAGGTCATTCACAGCTATTAAAGACATAGATCTGTGTGCAATCTCTGTTTTAGGAAGGCCCAAAGGCACCAGTGCTGAAAGTTAGAAGGGTATATTGGGACAGGATTTCTCAATGTCTGTTGTTCTGCTCTTTTTCTTTCTTCCTTCCTTGGGATCCATTGCTGGGTACATTCAGATACGAAGTTAGATTAATCTTTCTTACATTGTGTTGCATGGGAGACCGTTTTTCAAGGTGTTTGAATAGTTTCCTGTTAAGAATGAGTTTGAAAGGGACCCAGTTATTTTGGAAAATCCTTACCAGAAATTCTGAAGTTGATGTCACGTCAGTAAAGTTTTTCCTCTGTGAACTGTGGTTAACTCATATTTTCACCTCTTTCTGTTTGAGGTTCTGGCTGCATCCAAAGCCTAAAGGCTTCATCTCTTCATTAGAAAGGAAAAAACAGTCCTTAACTCTGCCACATGATCCTTGAATAACTTTCATAAAGCCTTACTTTCTAAGGGAACTGCCTAGTCCTTTTACAGTTGAACGTAGAAGTTTTTGTCTTAATGTTTGAAAAGAAGACAGGGTTTTTTCCCCCAGGTGTTACAAGGATAGAAAAAATCCACAAAAAGTTAAATGGAGGGGTTACGCTATTCTACAATGCTTAAGCATATGTTTCCACTCCATGGGAATCCTCACATGGATAATGTCACTTTACACTGGCATCAGTAAAATTATATGGATGTAAAAGCGTTTTTAGGATTCATCCCTTGATTTCATTGAATTATTGTTTGTTAGAAAGGTATTACTTTCCACCCTTTTTCTCTTGTAATTTTTCCCTTCCCTTTGTCTCTTAGAAAACAGCAAACATCTGTGATTTTACTGAGTAAATGATCTCTTAAATTATGTTTAAAATGTGATCATTTTACTTTTATGTGTTCCTTTTGTCTTTTCAGGGCAGCCCAGAAACTTGCAAGATCTATGCCGAATTAAAATCCGTCAGTGTATAGGCCTTCAAAACCTAAAACTACTTGATGAACTACCCATTGCCAAGGTCATGAAAGACTACTTAAAACACAAATTTGATGATATCTGATATCCATGAAGAGAAGAACTCTGAGCAAGATTAGTTATATTCCAGATACTGAAGAGGCTTGTTGCCTTGCACAAAGTATATCCTATGCAAATTCTGATTTTTTCTGTGAAGTCAGAAGGCAGGTATACACTTCCTTGGGTTTTTTATACCACATGCTAGAAGGTCTTAATTTTTGGTTTCTTGGTCCAAGTTTACAAGGTCCAAGCTTTCTATACAATATTACGTTTTAAAAATTGCTGTTGGGTTTTTGTTTGTTTGTTTTCACATTAAGTGTGCAGACTTGCAGTGGAGATGGAAGGTAGCCTCTCAAGGGAAGTGGTTGGTTTGAATTGGCACGCTGAGCAATTATTCAAGAAAACAAAGTTTGGATATCAAGGCACCAGTCCTGCAAAAGGATACAGATAGAAAGATCTTCAGAGCCCTGTTGTCTGTTGGGACTCTTGTGTGTTTTTGCAGGATAGAGGGAAGAGTTGATAGTCAACGTGTCCTAGGGTACTGTACGTATATAATTTGGAAATTAAAGAAAAAATGCAGTTACCCTATTCAATTTGAGGGTCTATACATTGGCTCTTTATATATTATTCTTTTCCTACTTACTGTAGTGGGGATGTCCATAGAATTCGGGCCCTCATCATTCCTGACATTCCCTGTTAAATGGGCGACTGTTTGTAAGTCTATTTTTAACAGTGACAGTACACTACAAAGAGGCATAGCCTCTGTATTTTTTACATTAACTTAAGAGTAAACAAATTTAGATTTTTTTTTTTTTTGAAGCCAATGTATTCTGTTTCTCATACAGTGCCTCCTGTGCAATAATCTTTCTGATGTATTTTCCCTTTATGTGTGATTTCCCCCACACATACTATTCCTCATTTAGTCTTAGTGCATTATTTGTGAGGACAGGAACTGCTGCCTCGCTGTAGTATTGATGTGACATTACAAAAGTGATGCAGCAGTTGCTGTTCATTATTACTCCCTGAATTTCATGAATGTATAACCTGCTTTATTTCATTTTCAGTTGAAATTTTATCTACGGGTTCTCAGCCAAATTGTGTCCACTTCAAAAAGAGAAAAGAAATTGGCCAAACCCTTTTGTTTTAAAAGCAGTAATGGATTTTTTTTTTTATTGCTCTGAAATTCAGTTCAGGTTCGAGATTGGGAAATGCACAGAAGTTAAGATGCATTTTATATGTGCACTAACAAGAAAAGCCCTGTTCATATTGGAAGTTTAAATTTTGCAATTAATCTGAAAGCAGCAACTGAAAGGAGTACTGGAATTCAGCTACTGAATGTGTTTTTTCATGCTAGGTATTAAAAATATCTGTTAAAGACTTTTGTTTCTGATCATAAAAAAGAAAGTTCTTGCTATCAAAAAAAGATTGGGCCGAAATGTGCAGTTTCACTCTCTTTATTTTCAAGAGATTATGGAGTCATCGTAAGATTCTTGCCAGTGTCCTCTACTTTTGTTTTGCCATCCTACTGGCTCCAAAAGAGCCTCTCTGATATCAGGAGAGCTTTTGTACCAATGGACGCGGGAAGATGAAAGGAACAGTGGTGGCTTTTAAGTTTAACACTGTCACTTTCAAAATATTTAATATTAAAAATATGAAAAGCAAGGTGAAGCAGGTATGCTCATATTATTTAACTGTGCTAGTTCCTTTTAATAGCTTATAACCCTGGACTGCAGTTCCTTGAGCATGAACTTTATCACTGCTAATGGATGCACCAGAACTATGGCAAGCAAGGAGGATTATCTCTCCCTGTTGTGCCTGGCATTGCATCAGGTTTCCAAACAGTAAGTGATTTTGGAGATTCATGCCTCAGAGGTTTGGTAATGGAATGTTGAACCTTTTTATCTCCAACTTGTATTGGTTCAAGTCCAGCCTGCTTGAGCAGTGACCAAAAGTTCATGTCTCAGCAGCGTGAGCGAGCAAGTATGTCCAACCTAAACACCACACCGTGCATGTGGTGGTCACCTCTAGGCAGCAGAGCTTTGTAGTGCTTCCTCCAGGTTGTACGTAATGGTGGTGGCATTGTAGCAGGAACAACCAGAGAGGATGGGTGGGATGCGCGCATGAGCTTGTGTGCATGATGGTGTCTGTCAGCTCCTGTTGAAAGAAAGATCAGCTGTTACAGTCTTTAAGCTCTCCAGTACTGAGACAGGACAGACATTAAGAATTGACTGACAGGTTTTAGGCATGATTCTTCAGTTTAGTGACATGAGATCAGAACCTTCAAGTTGCTTTCTTTTTTTAAAAAAAATATTTAGTATTGTTCACTACGCCTGTAGGTTGGTCTAAACCAGTGTTCTTCCCTACTGAATTTTTACAGTAATATTTCCTAAGGTAATCTAGAGTATATTTTAGTTGCAGTCTATATTAAGGCAAATTATTTGTTCTGTCTGTTGCTGTGACTGAAGAAAATTATGGAAGACTGTTGGTAACAAGAATGCTATTTAATGAAGAAATGTGTAATTCCATTATTTATTGTTTGAGGTTTGTTTTTTGGTTGTTTCTTTTAAGTAACTGACATCTAAAGGGAACACGCATACATTGCAGGCCAGTAGAAAGCCTTTCTTTTAAATTAATTTTCATCCTATCCTCTCTTCCCTCCCCAAGGTGGAGGGAAGCCCTCGCCCTTTCTTACAATGCTAAGCCATCTCTTGTAACTGGTTTCTCTGACCTTGTTTCTGCAAAGCACCACAGCACATGTGTCTCTGAACCTACTGACAGTGCCGTTCACTATCTTAAGTTATACGTGTGCTCGAGTGCAAGTGAAGTATGATTATTCATTGATAATCCTTTTCAAATTTCAATAATGGGGAATTTGATCCTTTTCATTATTTTAAATATTGTGCACAAATACTTTGAAGAACAAACTGAACTTTGTTTTTCATTCGGATTAGAATGTGGAAGGAGAAGTGCATAATATAGACTTGTTATGTAGCCTAGTTCCATTACCTTAAAATTCACGGTTGAACACTTTTATTAAACCTTAAAAAATTGGCAAATACACCAAAGAATCAATATGAGTAAAGACTCTGATCATTAACAAACTGCAAACCTCATCCTTTAAAACAAAGCAGAAAGCTTTTGTAAATATTTATGTTTATAAATGTACAGCAGAGTAAGAGTGTTTTTTAGATTATTTAATTACCATATTTCTAAACTATTTACATTATAGACAATACTTGTTAGTTTGAAAAGCTCTTGAGTGGTTTTTTGTTTTGTTTTGGGTTTGTTTTTTTTGTTTTTGTTTTAATTCATTATCACTCATGCTTGGAATAACTCTGGCTTCCTCGGTTAGCATGGAAAATTAAGTTTTCTGGCTCTAGTTGGCAATCATAGGAGAACTCATCTGGAGAAACTCATCAGATAAATACTCAGAGGCAAAAGAATATGTAGCGTGGTGGACCTGGACTAGATGAAAAAATTGGATTATAGCTTTCTCAGTTAAATCTGTCGAGAGCCCCCCATGCCATTGTGACAAGAGCAACTTGGAACCTGCCCACAAGTCTAGCTTCCATGCAACGCTATGTTACCAATATCATGATGTATTTTGTTCTTCCTTTGCAATGTAAGTTTTTGCTTTGGGTCAATTTGAATTTTAAAAAAAAAAAGAAAAAAGTTAAACCTGGTTAAAACCTTTTTTTTGTTTATGTTCTGTTTATTTCTAATGTAATGTTTTAATAACATAATACCACTTTACACATTTTTCTCTCAATGTCTGTCTGTCTCCTCTACTCCTTTTCTCTTCTCTGGTGCACATGATTCTGGTAGCACATTTGGTACTCAAAATTGCTCTGCAAATAGGAGTTCGGATGTCTCATTAATTGTAACATGATTTTTACCAGTAAATACGAGCATAAAACTTGCTGTAGAGCTGGACTTCAGAAGGGGGAACAAACTAGTCTTTAGCTATGAGTAGTTGGGTTTTCCCTGCTCAGATTCCTGAGCAGCCACTTCAGGGTTTTAGGAAAGGTTCACCTTTCCTCTTCAAGTTCATGTACTGACTAAGGTACAAAAAGGGACCAAATAGTAGAGGTCATATTTTGCAGTTGAATCTGTTTGGTGTCCATTTACTACTAATAAAAGTTAAATAAAGGGGATGTATATGAATATTCCTGGCACACAAATGGAAACTGGAAGCATTTGGTTTCAGTCATGAGAGTAATGTACAACCAAAAGTTGCAGTGAGGTTTTGGACCTAAAAATTTGGAAAGGAAGGAGACTAAGATTTAAAGACATTACTGCTAAAGGGTAGTAGGGGAAAAAAAAGTTTGTTTTCCATTGCTCAGTAGCAAACTATACAAACATCACTGGAAGTATGTACGCAGTACAACCAACAGTTGTGTGTAGGACTGTTGATGATGGTTACCAGCAGACTGGCCAGACTTTGACTGGTGTATTTATTGAATGCTCTGTTAAAGACTTTGTTCCTGTTTATGTATCATATTTCCTGTCTGAGTCTTCACTTGTTAAGTTTAAAACGATTAATGACTAATATTACTACTTTAAAAAAACCTGATTTACAAGCTGTTGACAAATGATCTTTAGAATATACAATCTTTCAATACAGTGTGATAAGGAAGCATACGTATTTTATATAGCAAAACACTCTTTTTTCACCATAGTGTATAACAAAACTTTTGTGTGAGAGCAAAAGTAATGGAGCTGATGAACATGAGTAAAGAGCAGGCTCTGCCATGTCTTTTCCCAAACAGCCTGGACCGAAGCATTTAAATTCTCTTTGCTCTAGTCTCTCCCCTCTGCTTTGGTTGGGGCTACCGCCACCTCAAAGGTTTTATACTGTTCTTTGAAACTGGAATAGTATTGAAAGGCTGAAGTTTGTTCTTTTCCTATGTCACTGGCATATGAAATCTCTTCTGTATGATTCTACTTCTTGACTTACGTTATTAGCCAAAGTAAAGCTCAACGTGTGATTTAATCCCGTGACAATAAGAAACAAACCAGATATATATGTTGCTTTATGAAACCATGCTACCAGGAATTCCACAGCCAGTGCATTCCCCAGGGATCCACAATGTGCAGCTGGAACAGCAAAAAGTTGGGATCGAAAGCTGCGTTGACTTTTATTGGGAAATCTCCAGCTGTCTAGTGAAGGAGTCGGAACTCCAGCTGTTTCCTCCACATCTGGGATCTCTAGTGCTGCTGACTGCTGTTTGTCAGCTCCCAGGTAAGTTTTGAATGCAGTTAAGGCCTGTCTTCATGTTTGCAAGAAGGGTGTTTCACACATCTACAGGAGGTGCTTGTAAAGGGTCTGAAAGCACTTCTATGCCTTCTCTAACCTTGCCAGGTTTTTCTGTAGAGTGGAGTTTGTGAGTTTGTGTAGTCTTACAGCGAGTGTGTTTGAGAGCGACGGGTACTACGGAGAGTAAGTATTTCCCAGACTTTGACTTGATTGGTTGCAGTGTTTTGCAGACCCCCTCAGCATCCATGAAATATTTCTGAAAGGTCTGGGAAAGGTGAATGAAGAAATAGGCCGTGGGTTATACAAGGGTAAATGCTTTTAAGAGAAGATTTAAGTCTGTAAACAACTAATGTACAGCAAAGAGCATCTATTCTTTGTTAAAGATCACAAAATTGGCCATAACTCTTCTGTTCTGACTTGCAAAAATAGAGTTTATTTGCAGTTTTAGTACTCTTCAAATATATCAGAAGATCATCTCCTGCTGTTCTGTCACAAGTAACTAAGAGTTAATGGAAGTATTATACTAAATTCTGTCCTCATTTCTGACTTACACCATTGTAACTCCACTGAAGGTGGTGGTTACTCAACATTTAATCTAGTGTGAAAGAGCAAATAATTGATTTGGATCGCCGGCTTGCAGTCCTGCTCCTTGCTTTATGGCCTAATGAGGAGAGTATTTTTGGAAAGTATTTGCAAAACACTGTGTGAAGGAGTGCTCTGACAGATTCTGTATTTGGGGCCAAATTTATAAGCAGCCAAGTAGACAGTAGACAATTTGCCCCCTGCTAAAAACATGGCCTGTTCTGATAGAGTTGCTTAAATGCTTTGATACCTAGTCCCGAGTTGGTGAGAGACATTTCAGTTTGATTGTCCATTTTGTATCTTGAGAAACTTAACATATTTGCTTATTCTCTAATACAGCCGATTAAAGTAGATCTGCAATGAAATGTAAACTCATTTTATTTTAAAGGCTTAATTAATTTTAAAGCCATTACAGATTAAATTTTGTACACGTCAGTGTAACAGCAGGTTCTTCTGTTCTTTGCTGAATGTATGCTTGCTTGCAACCAGCAGTCTGCATTGGCAATGTGTTTCAAGTACGAGGTTGTGAATTCGACCGGCATCTTGTTGGCTGAAACATTTAGAGCTGCCCTTGTATGTTTAAAGTTACACAT